ATATTCATCATCTCGGTCGACTAATAAACTTCATGTTGGTCTAATCAAGCCAAGCACCACTCATTAAATGCGTAAATTTTGACAGAAATGTGACAGTTGGTGGAGTATTTTAGGGTTGCCATGTGCAAAATGTCAAATTTCTACCATTAACATTGTAATATGTAATATTAAAACACGGGTATTAATTAATGTGTCACCATAGAGAATATTTTTGTCGCGTTACCTGTGAGATGGTTAGCGAGTTGTCAGTATAGTCCCTGGTGACAGTGAGGAGCGGGTAGCCGGTCTGCGTGGTCCAGGTGTCCATGACCTGCTTGACGGTGACGTTGCGGGAGAGGCCGCCGTGTCGCTGCGTGGCGGCTGTCAGCTCGGCCCACAGGTCGTCCTGCTCCGCGTTTCCGTACGAGTGCTTCACCAGGTAACTGGTGACACAAACTTATACCTAAATACTTGCCCACAAAAGACGAAGAAAAAAAATCGATCACCAAAGACCCTTAAGATGAAGCGAGAGAGGAAAAATGACAGAAAGAGATCTTCCGCACTGTCAAAGACCAAATAAAAATTTTATACCGGACTGAAACACGGTCATCAGATGAGATGCCGAAATTTTTTCACTTCACGCCGTTCTTCTGCTTCTTAAAGTGAAAGAAGTTCGAAGTAAACCAAGCTCTGAACAAGCGTGGCCTGTTACACCGACACTTTTAACTTAGTAAACTCGGGCCTTGAGATTGGAGAAATAAATGAGCTGATATTACCAAAAGAATCAATGAAAAATAAGGAAAACCGGAACAATTAGCGATTAAGAATCGCGCAGATAAAGTTCTGTACTTACTTATTGATGGCCTCCCTGAAGACGTGTTCTCCGAGAAACATGGTCATCATGCGGATGATGGTGGAGCCTTTGCGGTACGAGATCTCGTCGAAGATCTCTGATATACGCTTCGGGTTGTCAATCGGTACTGATACCTGAATAATTTATAATAAATTATTTAAAACTAAAAACATTGTTATAACGAAGGTGAAGTATGACGGGAAATAAAGTTGAAACTTTACGTATTATTGTAATTTAAGAGCAAGAGGTTCATCGAAACCAGTAACAGTTTGAAAGGGAAATTACAAAAAAAAGTTTAGGAGTCTCTGTTCACTTCAAACTATGATAACTTTACAATAAATGTTAACGTCGATAAACTAAATTAAAAGGCAATTAAAGTATAATTTTTGACTCGAAGTGTAGGATCAGATATTGGATAGATATTGGGGTTGTAAGGTATTGTGCAGAGTGGAGAGTGCAGTAGAGGCAGCAGCAGGTACCGGGTGCGAGGACTCGAGCGCGTCCAGGCTGAGCACGGAGAGGATGTTGTCGAGGGCGTAGCTGCGGTCTGCGCGCCAGGCGGGCTCCACCGCCGCCACGCCCACCGACGCCGCGTACGTCGCGAACCCCTCGTTCAGCCACAGGTCCGACCACCACTTCATCGTCACCAGGTTGCCGAACCACTGGTGCGCCAGCTCGTGAGCTATCACCTGCAGACACTCTTCCTCGTTACTTCGATCTGGATAAGTTTTATCAGTAGCGGCGTTAGGTAGGGCAACCGCTAAGGGCGCCGGACATAAACGAGCGCCTGATGAGACCCCTAAGAAACCCTATCTTTGGACGATTTCTCTTTACACCAATAAAAGACCCCCGCAAAAATCGACACCAGGGTGCCAGAAATGTTAAAACCCGCCCGTGTTTAATCATTAAATAAGGTACCACAAAATAAGTTTCATTTTTTTTTCCTGCTATAAGATATTTTATCATCAAGGAAAAATAATAAAATTTAAACTTATAAATTTTGAAACTTGAAATGAAAAAACATGTTTTCCATTTTTTTGTTAGTAAATTATACGGCAAATTTGTGTAAGTATTCAGTACAACAGTTATCGTATTGGTGGCTGACTTTGCTAAGCATATGCTCAGTATAATTCGAGCTCATAACTATGCATTTCAGCTTAAGTCAGTTCCACAGTAAACAGATAGGGTCCCAGCAGCTCACCTCAGCGACCCTCTCCTTGTTGAGGAAGGAGGACTGCTGGTTGTCGTAGAGCAGCGCAGTCTCCCTGTAAGTGACGAGGCCCCAGTTCTCCATGGCGCCGGCGCTGAAGTCCGGGATGGCGATCATGTCCTGCTTCGGCAGCGGGAACGACACGTTGAACCAACGCTCGAAGTGCGACAACACGCGGGGGCCCAGGTTTGCGGCGTACGCGGTCTGATCATAATAAATATAATACACGATTTAGGCTATATATATATTCATGCCGTGATAGAAAGGGATAAAAATTGCAAGCCAATAGCAGCACATATTTATGGTCGCCATGGTAACGGTAGTTTTCAGCCAATGGGGAAGGGCTTCGTTGCCATTTAAGCTTTTGAATTTTGACATTAGCAATTAAAAGTTTTACTTGCATTCTTTCTTTTACCCCGTTAAATAAAATCGGTATAAATTTTACAATCTTCAAATAATTTAGTCTATGACGTGTGCCTACAAGAGTCAAAATGACACTGACAGGAGAAATCTAATGTCACTTTGACATTTACCACAGATTAAAACTATTGCTTTTGAAACTGAATATGAATATAATTCAGAAGACTAAGTATAAACTACCATTCGATTAAACATTTATAACTTAGTTACCTGATCAATAGCATCGCTCCGAGCCCAGATCCTGAACTTGGTGTTAGCGAGCTCTGGCGGACTCTCCACGTACGAGAACTTTGACACCACAAACGCGACCAGGTATGTGGACATTGGAACCGAATTCTCAAACTGGTCCCATACGAAATGAGCGCGGTCCTTCCTAAAATTACAAAGTCAAAGTGTTAATTAAACCATCAAAATATGTGTGGTGATCTTGCATCGTCACAAAACTTTGTATTTCAAATATTTTCTACTCACCTAAATTGCTTCGCAATTGTTTCCCAAGACCAGACATCTTCAAGGGCACTGTAAAGAAGATAGTAATAATTACACGAAAAAACTTCATATTTGAGGCTTGTTTTGTGTGTAGTCGTGGCAAAGAGTCAGCGGGCTATTCTTCCGAACTTTGCCACCGTTGAAGTATAAACAGACAAAACTGAATCGGTGGGCATAATCAAACTAAATTGTGCCTGCACACTAGCGCCCCTCAGACGACAAAAAATATCACAAGATCCTCTTTTTTACATATCATATATTTATATGTCATCTCATTATATCATATATATCATAGATATCATATCATTTTATATGTCTAAATACGTTTTATTGTGACACCAACCGCGATAGCAGCGCCTCTCACTGAGTCAGATATCCTTGTTTGAATATACGATTCTAATTGGGAACTCACTTGTCTTTAGTAGTATTAAACAAGGGCATGTTGGAGACTGCAGTGAACTCCTCATGATGACCGATGTTCAGTCGGAACGTCGCCTTGTATATTGGTTCGTCGAAGCACGGGAATCCTTTGCGTGCTGATATCGCTTCGAATTGAGTCGCTATCAAGTACCTGCAAGCATACATATTTAGATATACATTTTAGAGTCTTTCTAGAACATTCTATAAGAGAGAAAGAAACTTTCAATGTGGTGGTCTACTGTGCGAGAATAGTTGAATAGACCTTCAAAATGTCAATGAAATTACCAATATCGCTACTATCTTTCGATGCTTATACTTTCGCTATCTTCGAGCAAGTGCGACCCAAAGTAGGTGTTGACGTGTGACACAAAATACTGTTAACCATTAAAAAGAAAAAAGTCAGATGTAAGAACTCACTCTCTAAGCTTAGTCTTCTTATTTACATATGTACTGATATAAACACCATCAAGTCCGATCTTCAAATTGCCGTAGAAGGGTATCTGGAGGCGGTAGCTAGAACCTTCTACAAGTTCCTTGTTCAAGGTCAGTGTAAGGAAGTTGTATGTATCATTGAGTTTGACAGAAGTAACGGCTGGTAAGTCACCAGCTCCATGAAATACCACTTTATCCTCAGCTACTGTATACTCCTGGGCGTGCAGAACAATCTTTGAAGTCGTTTTCTTCACGTCCAACTAGAAAGAATATGTGTAAATACATGTATAATAGTTTTCGAATATTTTAACGGCTCCAACTTCGCGGAAGTCAGAACACAATTTTAGGTGTGGCGCAGCGCAACCAGATGCAGTGTGAGGGCTCCGCAGCGCGCCAATGCCCTTTGGCCACCAAGATATTTGAAAAGGACTATAACTCGGCGTTGGAATTTCTTGATAATTTAGTATGTATGTATGTTATATGTTCTCGACTTTATAAAATACATTCGTGGAAAAAGCAAATAAATCCTTTAAATTATTCCCATCATATACCAGGTCATTATCGTGTTTTAAGGCTAATTATAATAACATTTAAACGCAATTAGTAACACACGCATGTTAAATCTGCCATATAGTAATTCCTAATTTTATGCGTTGAAGCCTTTATATAAATAATAATTACTAGAAAAGCGTAAACTCTTTTTCCACAGTTTAGGTCTTGCTTTGGAACGGTAAATACTTTATACTTTTAGCTGTAGCGTGTTTAGTAACTTTCTCAACCAATTTTACGTAAGACGTATGTTGCTCAATATCTCTGTAAGCGCAACTGTAAGGATGTGATTGATCTTTACAATGTATTGAAAAGCAAAGGAAATAGAGCGCGTTACCGTGACAAATCTGAGCTTCAGACGAAAGGAATGTTGTCACGCTTCACGCTTAATATTGCTACATATTTCCAATTTAATACACGTTAAAAATAATCAATCGTTGTTTTGAATTGTTATAGATAGTTATTGATTTTTATCAGTTATGTAATTTATGTAAAAAGTAATGTTTCTTTATGAACCTTTCTAACTTTTTAAACTGATGTTTAGTTTTTTATACTTAACCCGATTAATTTGTACAAGAGTGTCGGCTGTGATTGACTATCTTCCATTTAGTTTATCTCTGTAAAATTTCAAACACTCACAAAATTGTCGTAAATCGAAACGCAGAGTATTCTTTGCGTTCTGATTGGTTGTTACGACCCGCCATAAAGGCCATGAAAAAAGTTTTTCTGTCATCTGTCATATACTTCAATCGCTGATCGTAAACAAACCAATGTTTTTATTAAATAATTTTCAAATCAAAAGTAATTGATTCTAAGGACTACGTTTTATTGAAGCTAACGAACTGAAGTCGAAAGTTACTGCGATTAGACAACCCTAACTTATATTCTAAATGGTTTGGGTATAAGAAACTCATTGTATTTTTAAGCAATTCAATAAACAATGTCCATTAAACCGGAGTCTTCACAAAACTCTGAATCACCAATTGTTGATAAAGAAGAATTTAACACCAAGGTTCAAAATTATTACAAAGCACACAGCGTGCATAGCAAAAAGTTAGAATGGACGAAAGAAAGAATAGAAAATGTAATCAAACTTTTAGAAGACTATAGTAAAAATAAATTTCGTGGCGTACGAGCAACGAACAAACAATACCACCACGCACATAAATATGACGTCATTAAAACTGGTAATCACAAGGTATTAATGCTCAAAAGAAAAGATAGTTTACATCCAATGTTAGAAATGATTCCAACAGAGGATTATTATCAAAAAATTCTCGACGCCCACCTCGCCACCGGCCACGGTAGAAGAGACAAAATTGTTAGTACATTAAGAAATAAATACATGATACCAATATTTGCTATTAAAATATTTCTTGATCTTTGTAGAGTATGCATAACACATAAAAACAATTTTAAACCCAATGCTAAATCAGCACTTGTCCAAAAACCTATGCTAGCTAATAACTTTAACCAGAGCGGACATATAAATGTTTTAGACTTCCAATCAAGTCCTGACGAAGAATACAAATGGTTAATGCAATACCAGGATCAAACAACAAAGTTTAGTTTTTTACGACCATTGAAAAGCAAAGAAGCGAAAGAAGTGGGTTATGAAGTTTTAAAAATATTTCTACAAATTGGTTGTCCTCATTTTCTACAAAGTTGTGGAGGAATTGAGTTTACTATGTCAGTATTAAGAGAAATAACTACATTATGGTCTGCATGTGATGTCATCCAAAGTGAACCAATAGTTCCACAGGAAGAAGAAAGCATAGAAACATTGAAACAAGATATAAAAAATATGATACAAGCATGGATGGTTGATAACAATTCAACAAATTGGTCTTTTGGTTGTTATTTTGTTCAATTTCAAATGAATTCATCATACCAATTGTCAACTCGTAACACTCCATATAAAGCAGTTTTTGGAACTGATCCTAGATTAGGAATATCAACATCTTTATCAGAAAATATTGAAGGCCACTTCCAAGTGGAAGTAAAAGTGGAAGAAGATTCAGAAGAAAGTGATAAAAATGAAGAAAAGGACCAACTAAATAATCAAAATTCAAAGTATGGAGAATAAAAATGAATTTTTAATTTGTATGTTACAAATGTCTAGTTTACATTATTCCAGTCCAACTATCCAAGTCCGCTCTGGCTTACAATTGGATAAATATTAACACAATGTAATCAGCACAATGCGTTACAATGTGTTTACATTTTTCCAGTTGTAATCCAGCATTGATATTCGTCGCTGGACTGGAATGATGTAAACCATAGGCATAGATTTTTCAACAATGATTTTGCATAACATTTAGAAACTCCCAAAACCAGAATTTTATTATTTGTTAAACTTTTGTTGAGATTAAACTTATGTATAATATATTAGCAAATTAGGATAAAAAAATGTATATAACTAAAAGTTAAAAATAGTGCAATCCTACTATTACTGTTAAAGCGAAAGTTTGAATCCTTTGTCGCGAATGGTCATTACCAAGTCAAGTGTCATAATGATTAGTGAGGGGACATAAACGTCGATATTTTAGTAAGGCTAGTGTTGCGCCACACCGGCACAGTGTCGGATTTTCTTCCTAATACTACATATCTTCAAAACGGCTAAACTCTTAAATTTGTCCTAAATGTGGAACATATAGGATACTTTACCTTTTTTTTTTACTTCTGCGCGGACAGAGTCGCGGTAGACAGCTATGATAATTGTTATTAACATGTTATTTTATTTATTTGATATAGATTTAAGGTTTAAATTATAGATGTAAATATTATATGTAAAAAGTAAATATGCATATATTAATTTTAAATAAACTTGATATAATTAAAAACCTTATTTATAGCCATAGAGTTATGTGACAAATCACGTCAAATGGCAAACCCTAACCCCTGGCTACCCTTCTAGGTTACAAGCGTGAATGTTATCCACGAAACAATACAACTACCTCTTAATAAGGAACAATAGAGCGTATGACAAAAATATATATCACAAAAAGTAATTTCACGGGGTGAACAAACTGTTTTGGAATATCGAAGCATGCAATAAGATTTTGTTACGCCCACACGTTAAGAAGTGTCTTGGTAAGGGGACATTGTTCAGTACATTTACCCTGATTGAGTCAATAGCTTATTTAACCGAAAGGTAACACTGTCTAAATACATCTATCTCTATTTTACTAAAGCAAATGAGAGGGATAGCTTATGTTTTTATACATTTGAAACAGCAATGGAAACTCAAGGCAAAGGTTTATTTATAATTGTTCCAAATCGATATACTACGACTCTATACAACTTTTTTTAACACAAGGTGGCAAATGAGCAAGCGGACATCTGAATACGCCGAAATAACGTAACGACCGCTGCCCATGCAATTGCAAATGCGTTGCCTACCTTTGATCAACGGAGGACGGGACGCTCAGAAACAAGATATATCCCTTCCTATGCGTCCCTTCATCCGTTAAATCCACTACTTCCCGTATCCCATAATTTTTCTTATAAGAGTTTTGGAAGAAAAAGCGGACTAACATTAGACATCCGGATGTTGCTGGTTGTGGGTTGTTTACAATAAAGCCTTGTATTGTGTCATTTCCCTATATAACGTGTCATTTAGTGAATGAATATTCTGCCCCTTTTGCAATTTTCCTAGGCAATTTAAAGATAGTTGATATAAAACCTAAATAATTATCGTTAACCTTGCAACAGATTTCACTGATCAAACAATCAGTTTATTTAGTGAGCGGGACACGACCTGCTGCAGACGTGGTCGGCCTCACAATGACCATAGAAAGTAGGTTATGCACTAGATAGTTTTGTGTTATAGATATTTAGATGTAAATATTTTGCAATGTCTGTCTAGGCAGGTCAAATATATTTAAGAATATGAAGGTAAAGTATCCGGCGGATTAATTGGCACGTCGGTTGTATGAATATGCTTGGTTCTGGCGTGCCAATTCTAAAGCAGTCTACTATTTTGATACCAATGCAATTATCGCTATTAAAATAGTAGTCAATTGCAATATGATTTGCACTTTTTTAAATAATAAAATTAGTTCTTGTTATGGTAAAGAATTTTGGACCTGGTCTTATGGAGTCGACTCACCGTTTTTTATAATAACCTATTTTGCAGTTAAAATGCGTGTTTACATTAAATAAAGCTAGTAGAACCGGTAAGTGAACGCGTATTGTTTACATCAGTTATTTGCTTTATAAAAATAAATGAATATATGTACTCGCAAATAACTACTTGCATTTCATATAGATACTAGCTGTCGCTCGCGACTCCGTCCAGCACCGAAATTAAAGATACACAGAAACGTCAGATTCCAACTATATTTTAATGGCCAATACGGTATTTAATTTTTTCAGTGGTTTTTTAAAACAAAGGTTGCCAGTTATATTTCCGAATTTAAAATATTTAACGTACTGTGTATTTTGTTTATGGTTAAATTCGATGCATACTTCTCGCAGTGTCATAGACAGCAGTCGGGTTATTTAATTAATTTATATGAACAGCATTTATATTCACAATGTGACTAACAATGTATTGTTGAGGTCAGTCGTTGTGATTCTCAACAGAAACCGCGCAAGGTTTTCCTTGTCTTGTCTCTGACACATTCCTTGTCACGCTTACTTTTGTATTAAGGCACAAATCTACTAAATTTACACTTCAATTAATACACAGCCATCCCTTTCATTCTCTTTCACAAAACAGAGACAACAAATACGTTTTTCAACAATTCACGATATGTTTAAAGCGTTCGAACATACCAGGATATCAGCAACACCAAAAAAGCTGTAATTCGTCCTCGGATCGACGTCGAAGACGAGCCTCACGTCATAGTGCTTGGGGACCACGTCGCCCGGCAGCAAGTACTCCGCGAGGACCACAGGCAAGATCAGGACCAAGACCGGCAGGACCACGAGACATCCCGACCGTCGCATCTTAATGTCTGCAAAAACCAAATATTAATTCATCAATGTAAATTATGAATATCGGATATATGGAAATTTTAAAAGTAACAAAACAACATATTTTAAATATTTCCGTCGCGCGAACACAGATAACCTAAGGTAGAAAATCGAAATACAAAATTATCAAAAAATTCTCTAACGGCCTTTAAATTTGCCGTAAACCAATCTGTAGTATGTATAAAAAAATGAATTTCATTGACTCACGTGTTATTTTTCGTTATTGTTTAATTATAGGCGTATCTATTTATCTAATCGAACTGACACCAAACCGTTCACGTGGTGATAATTGATAAACATAATAAAATGTAATATATTTTAATTAAATATTTATTACACAAAATAACTGTCATCCACGACTCCGACTGCGCGAAATTAAAAAGAAACTTTATTAATGTGTTCTTCCAGACTATGTTCTACATCTATGCCTAATTTCAACAAGATCTGTTTAGCCGTTCTGGAAATACCTTCTAACAAACATCCATCTAAACTTTCGCATTTATAATATTCGTAAGATATACGTTTTATTTTCTGCCTAACTATTATTACAAGGTCCAAATCACGAAGACCGCGTAAACCTTACATAAAATTTAAAGAAATCTATGCCAGAGTCACAAACACTATGTTAATAAGGGCAATTATATTTAAGATCTATGTTTATTATATTTATGAATACCTATTATATTCTGTGGAAACTCGAGACAGACACAATATGGTACCAGCCGGTCACAAACACAACAGCACGATATTAGACGATGTTGCATGACAGTATTAAAATATTCAGTCATATTTTTATAGCATAATAAAAAGTTATAAAGTGGTAATATTGACCTGGAATCCTGAAATACCAGCATGTGGGTGTCCGCCATCTTTAATTATCATAGTCGATGTTAATTTGATAAAAATGTTTTCATTAACTTTATCTGTATGTTTATTTTTAATTTTAATCAAATTAATTATCAATGTTATACGCAATGATTTGATAACTATTCAAAAAGTCAATTTATAAGAATCATATTATGTAAAATATTGCTATTTTGACGTGAACTTTCGCGCGCTTTTTATTGTTTTTTTAATAGGATACTAATGTTCAGCCACGACATTTAAAAAAAATTCAATCTACATTTTCTCTTCAATTTAATCTGTTTAACATTTAATCGTTCTTTTTGAAAAACTATATCTAGAGAAAAACTTTCTTACAAAACAGAATAACGTACGGAACCGATTTATTTACTATATCAATAGCAAACGACGTCACATACACGCGGACAGACCAATTAGCATCAATAATGCAGCTTTAAGAATGCATAAAAAGAGGAAAACTAGGTCATACAAGTAAGACCTACATCGAATGCGAACACACTAGTTAGCCTTCATAATGCGTGCTTGTAACATAGACCTGTTTACTTTACAATAATTTAAATAAACAACAAATTTTTATTTTTATTGAATATCCCAAACACAATATGCCCATAAACAAACCTCCCGACAGTCAAAAGAAACTTAGAGGTTTCGATCAAAAATACAATTTATTTCTTATCTATAAAAATACAAATTACGTAAAAGGCTTGTGTTTGCTCTACTGACAACAGTGAAAATATGCTCCCTAATAGAATGTTTTTATAATTAATTACATAGTAAAACGGCTGAAGAGTAAACCAGGTACTAATTTCTTGCTACAATTAATATTGCAATAATCAAGTAAGAAGTGCATTAACTCTTAGAAAGTCTCAATTCGATCAAACTTCATTATAAATGTTACTTATTAATTTCTTGTCTATGGTTACTGTAATCAAGTACTTTACCTATGTTTCTCTCGAATTAACTTTCGCGGTAATATAGTAGTACTAGCATTCTCTAAAGCTAAATAATAACTTATTTACTAACATATATTTAAAATAAGTGTGTCAAAATATTTTTCCTTGTTATTGCAAAGATTTCTACAACTTTGGGTTAAGACGTTGAGGTTATTGCGTCATATAATATCAAGTTTTCCTTCGTCCTAAAATATTTGTTCGTAAAGTATTTAGGATATTCTGTCTGTTTCATATTTTGGTTTCATCCATCGGATTTTTCATAAGAAAACATATTATTTTGTCTTCGTTTCAATTTATTTATTGAAAGTTAATTAGTTTATCAAATATAATTATTCATGTTGCCCATTCTGATAGACATTTTCCTTTTGGACAATTTTCTTAATATTTTTATAATTCAAATGATAAAAATGTTGTAACTTTAACATTCAAAAATATCGCTATCTTACAAAACTATGTTGCATGCATTAATTGGCAGAATAACGGACGTTTTGGTCACAGTTTTAATTTAAAAAAAACTTTGTACGTTACGGTTGACGCACGACAATGAACAAGTTGAACTGGTGTTATATTCAAATAAAAACGTATTTTAACCTGAAAGAAAAGAATCTCTGATTCGTTGTAAATCTTTTTGTAGACAAATGTGGAGAATCGACCGGGAAAAGAAAGGTTAACTCACCAATACTTTAGTCTGTGGT